TTACGAGTGGATGCGACAGATCGCAGCGGACATCGTCTGGGGAAATCCGACTCGTTTGCGAGGATCATTAACAGACTTGGACTTGACGCGCGCGGTGGAGAGCGGAGTTTAGTTCTGAGTAGCAGCCCGACCGAGGGGAGTTTCCACCTTAGTTATGCCATTACCAGGTTTATCCTCATGATACATTTGCTGCTTATGTGCATTATATAAGCGGCAACCACCAAAAAAAAGAGCTGCATTGGTATACGCGCTGCGCGGAATATTTGTTTTCTCCGCGAACACACATGGTTTATCCGCAGAATAAGCTTTCAGCTTTGGGTCCTACTCAGCTATGAACGGAGCAACACATTTAGCGAGCGAGCGGTTTCTTTGGAGATGTGTTTTATTCGAGACAAGTGGGGGGAAGGGCCTTTTTGCAGTCAGCATGACAAATATGACTGTACTAAGCCTGCCAAAAAGGACTCAACAAGTAAGTGTCAAAATATGTTGATGAGAAGTGAGCGGGTACAGCACCAAGACATGCTGAAGCGAGAAAACAAAAAAAGTGCGGAAAGTGAAGGATGGATATCCACTTGAACTGCGAAAACATCGCATTGGGAACTTTCAGGCAGTTTGAGAAGGATTTCGGTTACTTATTACAGTGGGTCAACGGCGTCGATTGACTACAGCAGCCGCATTTTTCTCGCTTATGATCTCTCGCAGCGACTAGATCAGAGGCAAAGCGAGAGAGAGAGTGCGGCATCGGCGGAGGAAGCCCGGGCCTGAAACAAGCACATCACTCGCATCCAAGCCCGTCTTTAGACTACAGTAGCTCATCTCACTTACTCTTTTTAGTGTCAAAACAGAAAGACGTGACTGTAAGGCTGAGGCGCCGTTTGAATCCTTCTACAGTCACGCCTCTGTAACCTTGATAACACGCCGCCACATTTCACGCCCTACCCCCCTTGTCAACGTCGGTTTCCAAAACGTTCTTTCACGAGATTACGCATGCGGAGGGCACGTTGTTCAAAGCTAAACAGGTGCCGACTCTACGCAACCCCGCGTGCTCGTCAAGGCTTCCAATGGGTGTGTGCCACTTGCGTGTACGTACCATGACAGCTGCAAGAGCGTAGCACGCTGGTTTAAAGCTTATGGCCCATCCTGGAACCTAGTAATTGTGGCTGCATGTCCTGTCCCATCCTGTACTGTCCTGTCTGTTCGTTTTTTTTTTTAAAGGATTCTCTTCTCTCCGCTTTCACGGGACACGGGGATTGTTTGATTTGCTAGGATTTTTCGTCATCGTGGGAGATTTCGCCTGTAAGAAACGTGGGATGCCGCTCACCTTTTGACTGCCTGCACGGAGATGACTGGTAGTCGATTCTATCAGATATAGAATAAAGCCGAAGCACCAGTTTTCCTTTCTTCTTCTCACTTCCTTTGACATATTATACATACTCCATGCCCCATCTCTATCCAGTTCTTTCCAGGATCATCAGGATAACGTTTTCCTTTCTTTTTTACCACTCCCACTTTAGACATACACTGTTACCTGCTTACTTGGTACGAAGATGGCTGGCGACTTCTCCAACAGAGCACCTTGGAAGCGCTCGGCATGTGATCGCTGCCGCGCACAGAAGCTGCGATGTCACCGAGATTCAGGCCACTCAACAGACGCATGTCTTAGATGCCTCAAATCTGGCATCGAATGTGTCACCAGCAAAGCACGTCCAACAGGTCGTCCCCCCTCAAGACAGGTGCAGCCCACTGTTGTAGTTGAGCAAGGTGATACCAGCTCGTCGTCACACACCACGGACTCGTCACCCTCTGCGGGTGGCACAGACATGAGCAACATGATGAACTTTGAGTATGATTTGTCGCTGGACAACATCTTGGACAGCATTGGGATGCAACACTCTGATTTCATGGTCAATGACAATATCCTCGTCGACATCTCCCCCCTGTCGTCGTCCCAATCGACAAGCCAACACAGCGTTGCACAGGCACAGGCACAGACAGTGGATCCCAGCACCATCCAATCGACAGCGTCGTACCAGTTCAACAGCCTACCGAGTACCAGCTCCATGGACTCTACCTTACCCATAAGAAGCGATCATGTCGAGCTGCTTCTGTCAAGGCTGCATTCAAAGTTGTCTGCCCAGCTCTACTCCATCAGATCGTCCCCATGGGATGTAAAGGGTACCCTGAACCTTTCCTTGGCCCATCAGGGTATTGGTCAAGACTTTGAAAACTGCGAGTCCCATCCTCTAGTCCAAGTATCACAAGCTTGCACTGAGCTCGAGAGGCTCTTGTCTGGCCTTCGCGCCCCCGCATCTGCTGAGCATACGCCCTCGTCATTTTCATACACGCCAGCAGTGCCACCGCGATTACGCACAACGCAGCTCCTCATTGCACTGTCGTGCTACATACAAATTGTTTCAATCTATGGTATCATATTCTCAAAAGTATTCGACTACCTCATCAGCACCTCCAAGATGTCAAATGGCTCATATCAATCATCTCCATTGACTCTTTACATCGGAGGTCTTCCTATTCCTCCCAATGAAACGTTATCCGGAAATCTGCTCGTTCACCTCATCGAGCACCAGCTTCACCAAATTGAACAGCTCATGGGCCTGCCCGAGCATTATAGAGTATCTTCTAGAGCTAAAGACACTAAAGATGGGGAATTGGGGTTATTTGGGAGTCAGCACAGTCAGTCTCTGCTTAATGCCGCGATACAGCTGGGAGAAGATAGAGACGGGAACCATGACGACATAAGATGTGTCCGGGCATTAAAGGTAGTGATGCGCCAGATTAAAGACTTTTAGACACCTGTTTATAGAAGTTCTGGGGGTTTGTTCAAAAAGATCGCTATAGATTTCTAATAGAGTAAAACTTACAAGTCTAGAGACTCAGTTGGCTCACGTGTCTGAACTGGTGACTGTACTGGTGAATTTTCTGGTTTTACTGAATCATCATGAATAATCACTGTGCCGTGCCCTCTGATCCCGTGGGAGCGTAATCCTGGTTGCCCAGGACTTTTGTGGTGGTGGTGAGAGATGACTCGTGGTGTCAGCATTGTGTGGGATTCGTCGGTGATTTCGGAAGAGCCGTTTCAGATTATTGAAGAACAATATGAAGGTATCTGGGGGAATCAAGAGTAAATATTCTCACTGATAATAGAAATCGTGTCAAGTGATTGCCGTAACATCATATATTTATACCATAGCCTCCTTTTGCTGGACCTCAATCATGTTCACATCATCACGTCTCCATGTGATCTTCATCTCAGTCTCCAAATTCCGTCGACAAGGAGTTTGACCCTCGCAGTATTTTCGCCGAAAAACCGCTCGGAAATTAAGCCAGTTGGCTCCACTTGGCATTCAGGAACATGTGAGACCAGCGGGATTAGCAGAGGCCAGCGGCATTCGAGTCTGCTAAACCCGCGGGCATTAGAGGAGCCATGCAGCGTAACCCCAGCAGGGATATGAGCATGTTCCTGTGACAAATGCGATCTGTCATAATACGTCACAACACCCCAATTCCCGTAAGCAGGACATGCCGAGCAAGGATGAAACAAAACCCTCATAGCATTATCAGATTCACGTTGTGAGTGCGTCGAGAAGGAATCCTTTAACGGCAACAATCCGAGTCGATAGAATCCTTCTGCTGACTTAACCTGCCGTACTTCCATTAGTCTTGGATCTGACTACAGTATCTACTGGCCATACGCGAGCTGCCGCTTATCACCACGCGTGGAGCTGCAAGGTATGCCCAAGGCACAGCAGAGACTCAGCTTCCCAAAAGGGCCATGACCTGACGCTCAAAGCAAGGCCATGGCAACACCTTTTTTAGGAACACGACTTGCCTGTTTTATCAGATCTGTCTTTTCTGCCCGCTAGTCTTGGTTTGGTGGGTTAGGTAGTTAATTCCGCGCATGCAACGCAACCAAACTCTACCGGTTGATACCGGGATATGCGCACGCCCCACCACTCTACAGAGTTACTGGTTCAATTCTGGAAATTCGAATAATATCACCATTTCCCGTAGCCTAGTCGTCAATTGCGCCATACGGACCGAGCCTTCCGATGACGCATTTCGGCCGAAAGGACAGCAGGGTCATCATCCCACGCTACATATGTAGGTAAACCAGGTTTGAGCGGCATTGCAGGCACTCAGCGCTAAAAGATGACGGCAGCGCTGTCCCCGAGTGACGCCGGCACTGAAGAAGGATCGCGATTTCGGAGGATATGGCATGGCGAGAACTAACGTGTTTGCCAAGGTGTCAGTAGCGGATGATCTGCCGTGCCAAGGTCCAGGTTTATATCGTGACTATCAAGGTTCTGACTTGGCAAGACTCTATAGATCCGATATCGATGACCGCGGCGGCAGATTAGATCACTGGACAATCTGATATCCCGGCCTTACGAAAGGACTCCAGGTGATTGACGTTACGGTATGTGAATTGAGTAATGGCTTTTTAGGTTAAGCTTTAAGCTAAAACTGAATGACATGTGTGAAGCGACAATTGGCTAGAAGGGGAGGCTCTGCGGATCAGGTCGAACAAGGGATGATTTATCATTCCCGCGATAACAGAGTAAAGAACTAATGCCCGTCTGCGTTGCTCAAGTCATGGCACTTGTGCTTGCAGTTCATGCTACCACTTAAATACTAACTGACAGTATCGCTCTTACTACTGTGCCATATACTGCTACCAAAAAGCTGTGTATTGAAGCGGATGCAAGTATGTTACCCTGTACTTGTATCACGGATATGCTTTACGGAGCCGCCAAGACCATACCCGAGGTCTTGCGGCTGAGGAACCCTACTTAAGACAAGACTGCAGTGGCCGATATGAACCGGCCTCGTTTGGAGGCATGCGCTCTTCATAGCGAAGGGGCGGAAATAAAACAGGCAGGCGTCACGGATTCTAAATCAGATGTGCCAAGTATAATACTGTTGTATCTATAGGCTGCTTCTATTTTATATTTATCACCATCAAGTCCAATGCATTCTTGCTTCTAGTACACACCCTCCAAGACGCCTTTTGCGTTCAAGAGGGACAGATGAGCCGGGGTAATATCGCTAATCTTGCTACATCCAGCAAGTCCCATACACAGCTTAAACTCGTTGATCAGCAGGTCAAGAGCCAGACCAACACCGTTGGAGCCGTCATACTACAGCATTAATTAGTTCTTGTATCAGAAGTGGCAGTTGCAACACTTACAGCAAGGCCCCAGATGGCGATTCTGCCGACAAAGACAAAATCTGCACCAAGTGCAATAGCCTTGAAGATATCAGAGCCACGTCGGAAGCCACCATCGATGGCAATGCGCGTCTTGCCCTTGGCAATAGGTGCAATCTCACGTAGGATGTCGATTGTTGCTGGGGTAGTATCTAGCTGTCGACCTCCGTGGTTGGAGATGATGATACCATCAACGCCCTGCTCTATGGCAATCTGGGCGTCTAGTGGAGATGTAACTGGACATTTTGGTCAGTATTGGTCTTTGTGACGAACGAGGATTGTATGCTTACCTCCCTTGACCCAAAGCTCAAGGTCAGTCTGGCTCTTCATCCATGCAATCTTCTCTTCCCACGTAGCACCTGTGTCTAGAGCATGTTAGCGAGGACAGTCACTTATCTAAAAGTTCCCACATACCGAAAGAGAGGTCAGGAATGCCGCCACCCAGTCCGCCAGACCCAGACTGAGTCTGAGCACTCAGGTTGGGAAAGCTAAATCCCGGGGGGACACTGAAACCATTTCGAAGATCGTCCAATCTCCTTCCAAACATGGGAGCGTCCACTGTTAATACGACAGCTTTATACCCGGCAGCTGGAGCAGGTTAGTCAACAAGGTTCTCTAGCGAGTTGTAAGTACGAAAACTAACCTTTGGCACGGTTGAGCAAGTTGGTGGTGATCTGCCGATTCTTAAACGGGCTAACCTGAATAGCATAGGGCGTCGATCCATCCGAACTCTGTCCAGATACATCCTCAAGGGTATCGTTCGACAGAGCTGACAGAATCATGGGTACGTGGCGTGCAGCACAAGCTTTGGACGTTCCAACCTCTCCATCAGCATGCGCAAGACGATGCATCGCCGACGGAGAAACACCGAGAGGCAGCGCTGCCTTGGTGCCCCAGAGGGTAGTAGTCATGTCAATGTTTGAAACATTACGGAGAACGCGAGGACGAAGCAAGTACCGGTCAAACGCAGCCTCATTACTCGCGAGACTAAGTCCGCGTAAGTGTTTCAGGAACCGAAAGCTTAAAAAGGGTTTGAGTGTAACTTACGTGATGTTATCCATGGCCCCGCCGTTGTAGTAGTCTGCAAGCATTAGCTGACGATGCCGAGATCGGAGGACTGGTTTTGTACGCACCTCTGTACATCTGAGACATCTTGTCCGATGCGGCCTGCTTGAGGTCCTGGATAGAGAAGATTTGCAGCTTGGAGGATGTAGCGTCAGACATCTTGGCGGGTTGGATGGGCAGATTGGTACGAGACATGAATCACGTTGTTTTGCTAGTAAATTACTCAACTAACATCCAACTGCTGTATGGGATATTATTCAAGTTTATATGACAAGTTTTACGAATGCAACACGAAAACACAACTCAACAGATGATATTCAACGAAGACATCGTATGTTTAACTCGGTTGCATTACAGTAAATCTTCCGAAGCTCAATCATGATATACAGTCTCTCCCCGACGGAGGCCGGTTCAACAGATTGATTTTCGGGGCCGTATTAGCCTCCGAAGAGTAACTGCTCATGTGGGGTCAGGCCATGCAGTGTCGGACGTCCGATCTCACCCTGAAGACGGATAAGTCGGGAGACTTCCGTAAGCTAATGCACAAGTCACGACACTAGTCGGAAAGTTATTTTTATCTTTTACATCTTATCAATCAGAGCAGATCATGCCTTGGAACAGTTAACCTTCTTGTGATGCTGACTCTTATGACGAAGAAGTCTGAAGGATTTCGGCGACGGATCCCGAACTAAAATGGCCAAGTGCTGACATGTCGATCATGATATTGTCTGACAGTGTTTTTGTATCTTCTTTCGTAATGATATTATGTCATTTTGGATGTCGCTAGCTCACATCGCACAGCATATATATATTGTTTAAAAGTAATTAGGCATGTGACGTTAATATTTCCTAGCATACGATTGCAACGATGAAGCTTGCTGATAGGGAACACTTTATTCGTATGGATAACTGACATAAACTACAGTCAATAACCCCATTGTTTCAACCAAGTGTCAAACCAAGCTGATGACACAGACTCCATGCAAGCCAAGATAGAACTCTGTGCCAGTGTGTTTCCCTTAGACCACTCAAGACCCCGAGATCCTTCATTCCCTGAGGCCAGCATCTCAAAGAAGGCCAGCAACTTGAGACCACTTTGAGCCCTTCTCGCAGTCTCGGATGATCCTTCACTGACCTCTTTCACGATGGCCTTCTCTGCACCTCGCAGACGGCCAATCCAATCTTGTAGAGGAATAATCTCAAACGTCTCTGAGAAAGAAGCCTCAAGTTGAGCTTTGAGGCCAGGAAGAGTATCTATCCAGCTGGGTGTTCGGGGGTTTAGTAGATTGTAGTAATTCTCTTGTCCCACGACTGGATTCACGGGAACCACGAGTTGCCCAATGACCTCTGTGAGGAGATCGATGGGGATCCAGTCTAGAATGCTTGCAGAGCCAAGATCTAATGGCAGAGTTCGTAGATAGACGGAGGCATCGATGATCTCAAATAAATATTAGTTTAATAGTATATTGATGGGCAGCGAATGGATACTTACAGCGGGAACCCAATCTCGTCGAGTCCAAATGCTACCCTCGCCGAGAGTCTTGACCGGACCAGCGACTTGGCCAACTCGTAGAACTGAGAGACTCAAGACACCAGATCGCGCAGCCTTACTGAGTAAATGCTCGGCCACAAGCTTAGATGAACCATACCCGTTGATCGGTGCATCAAATCGTGGAATGCTTGCTTCTGGTACGGGGCCCAAGAGGTCAGATGGCCAGTTCATGGCAGCGCTGATAGACGATACGAAGAAGAAGCGGATCTTGTGACGAGTTTCTCGGCACATGTCAACAAGACTCTGCAGACCGACGAACTGAGGCTCGAAGGAAGAGAGAGGCAGATTGAAGTTGACCTCCCAAGCGTTATCTATAGATGAGGTTAGCCTCTAGTAAATTGTTGTATGAGTCGCCAGACTTACGTATGATAGCAGTGGCTTCGTTCTTGATCTCCTCAAGATCATCCTTACTCAAGCCGAGGTTCTCTGAGGCCACATCATAACGCACAAACTTGGCCTTGCTTTGCCAGTTTGACGAAAGACCCTTGGACTTGGCCGAGTCTACTTGGCGTTGGAAGGCGTCGGCACTACGGTTCAAGCACCAAACCTTGGCGACCTTGTCGTTGCTACATAGAACGTCGAGCAGATACGAACCAATCTCTCCAGTTGTACCTGTGAGAAGGATGTGCTCCTTCGCCTCGCGAGGTGGCTCGAAAGCCTGGGTGTACTTGGCAAGCATTTCCCGAGTAACTTGGCTGTGATGGATCTTGTCCTGGGGTCCATGTTCGAGATGGGACCAAACAGAATGAGCAAGCTGAGAGATTGTTGGGTTGGTGTAAATAGTACCCGGTTCTACTTCAAGTGGCTGGTCAAAGGCAGAACTGAGAAGTCCGGCTAGTCGAATGACATGAAGCGAGTCGAAACCTCTGGTGAAGATGTTGTCATCGTCCTTGAGGTCGACCAATCCAGACACGGTCTCAATTGCCTCTCGAATACCGGAACGGACTACATCTTCCGTTGTCCCGTTGATGTGAACAGAAGGGTCACCATGAGTAGACCTGTCGTAGATAGCGTTGATGTCGGCAGTGAATGCTTTCTCTGTCTCATTGCGAGCGAGTGTACCCTTGGGAGTGCGAGGAAACGGAGTGCGAACGATCTTGACAAAGTCGCGATGAATCTGAGCGAAAGCTGGAAGATGCTTGTTAACTTCCTCAAATGTTGGCCAGACATTGTCGATGATAGTGTCGTCTGATTTGTCGAGGCTGGTCTCATCAGGGTATAGAAGAGCAGCTGTTTGGAACCGACCACGGCCAGTGAGGTAGGCCGCAGCGATCCATGGATGGCTGATGAGCTTTCCTTCAGCAGCAAGAGGGTTGAACTTTTCTCCGTTGGAGAGGATGATCAGATCATCACGTCGCATCTCGTACTTCCAGAGATCAGGATGCTTCGGGTGTCGTGAGTACAAGTCCTTCGTCTCCCAGATATCAAGTTCAGGAAACGTCTTGAAGACAGGTTGAGTCGCGGAAAGCTTCGGGTTCTGAACAAACACCAGCTCAGACAGGTCTTCAGAGTAAGGACGCATCTCAACACCTGTTCGTGGATGGAAATAGTAGTAAGCCCACTCATCAGGATGCGTGACAACAGAGGCAAGCCACTGGCCCTCTGTCATGCCCATGGTTTGCATGATGGGTACACGCGGGTGGATCAAGTCGCCCACGGATTGAGGAATAGGTCCTCCAGCTGAAGTGATAAACTTTAGTTCCGAGAGCTTCTCGAGGACACGGGGAGACTTGGAGATATCCTGGAGAACACTTGGTGAGATAAAGGCTGAGTCGAGCGAAATATGGTCAAGGGCGTCTTCGATAACATGTTGCATGATCGGTCCTACGGACGGGAGAACCACGATCCAGTTGAAGAAGACGGCCGAGTAGAGACCGAGACATATTCCAGCGACCTAAAAGCACACGTCAGAGCCCGCTTCAGACACAAGAATACGAGACTTACGTGGAAGAGAGGCATAGCGCACAACTGTCTCGTGCCAGTCCACTCAACACCAGTTGGTCTCTTCCCATTCGTAGGCTCCATGAGGTGAAAACCATCAACGGTCGCAGCAGTTTCAAGATATACTGGCACCAATTTAGGCAGGCCGGTAGAGCCTGAGGTGTGAAGGAGTGCAAGGACGTCCGACTTTCCTTCACTCCAGGTCTTCTGGTAGATATACGGCTTGACGGGTGTTGGATCTAAAAGCTGGGATAGTTCAGGAGCTTCAACACTGGGAATCTGGAGGTCTTGGAGGAATCCGTGGTGGTCCAGACCAGATGAAGCAATCCAGAATTCGCAGCTAGACTGTTTGATCAGTGATACGTGTCCTTCGACACTGTTGCGTGGTGACGATAGAAGCAACTAGTTAATTAGTTAGAGAATATCGATTTGATGCCATGTTTGGGATCTTACTCTATGCCCCAGCTTTGTAGAAGCAATCATCATGATGAAATATCTCAGGTCATCTGAAGCTCATCAGCAGCTGCCCACAGTAAAATAGCAAAGCCAACTCACTTTGACCAATGTAGGCAATTGTTTTAGATACCGTTGGCGATCCAAGTTGAGAGTCAAGCCATCCGCAAAGCCGGTTGATAGAGTTGGCAAAGATCTTGGTGGTGACTTCATCATACCCCTGCGAGGGTTGTCCGTTTCGTGGGGTGTAGAAAAGCACGCGATCAGGCTCGTCCCGTGCTATCTCGTCGATGACCACAGGAAGAAGCCTGTGGCCATACGCGGGTAGGTGGGAGATTGAACCCATGACGTTGGCAGGAGACTTTACGAGAGATGAGAGAGAAGATAATGCTTGCTTCGCTATCTTCTGCATAGAGAAAATGTGACTATGCAGGGTCTAGCTTTACTACAATATCTATTGTACTACAATCGCACCTTGGGCCTTATCTTGCTTTTACAATCCCTTCTTCTACGTGTTACAGTGCTACTGAATGCTACGCTTCTCGGACCTCGTTTGCAAACCGAGGTTGTTGGTATGCACGGTTCTTAACAAGGGACCGAACGGAACTTTTTCTCGGCCACATTCCGCGACCTTCCAATAACTTCAACCCGTCCTCGTCAATCTAACAATAGACCTAGACTCTGTAGTGTGTGTGATTGGCCATCGGAAGCTTTGGCGGGGACCGGACCGGAGCTGACGTGCATGAGATTCATGGGGAAGTGTCCGATTGCTCCACTCGGCGGCGTTCGGTAACGGAGCCGGACTGAAGATCACGGACAATCTGACAATACGAAATTTAGTTTGAGCCGAGGAGAAGGCTTTAAAACGGATGGTAAAGATATGTCATATTAAAGACCTCTCTCAAACGATATTCTCCTTGGACCAGGACAACAGTAGCAGGCTTTCTCTTTCCCCTTCTTGTGTTTCATATCCTTCGAACAAAAGTTATTCAAAATGGCGGAACAGGTCTTTCAGAACTTTGAGACCCTTCAGCTTCATGCTGGGTACGGCTCCCCTGGGTACCGTCTCTTCAGATGCTAATCTCTGGCAGATACACGCCAGATCCTCACACGAGGTCCACTGCTGTTCCCATCTATGCGACATCTGTTAGTCCTGCCAAAACCCAAATTTTAGCAGACTCAGCAACTAACTCTTATTCAGAGTTACACTTTTAACGACTCTGCTCATGGCGCCCGTCTGTTCGGTCTCAAAGAGCTCGGCAACATCTACAGTCGTCTTATGAACGTAAGCAACACCGAATAGCCCTCAAGTACATAAACTGACCTTACCCCTTTAGCCTACTGTAGATGTCTTCGAGAAGCGAATTGCGGCCCTAGAAGGTGGTATTGCCGCTGCTGCTACATCCTCCGGCCAAGCCGCCCAGTTCCTCACCATCGCCACTCTGGCCAAGGCTGGTGATAACATTGTTGCCAGCTCCCATTTGTACGGTGGCACATACAACCAACTCAACGTGCTACTTCCCAGGTTTGGTATCAAGACCAAATTCGTGCGAAGCGGAAAACTTGAGGACTATGCTGCTGCTATTGATGACCAGACCCGTGCCATCTATGTCGAGAGTATGAGTAACCCTGACTACGTCGTGCCCGACTTTGAGGGTATTGCCAAGATCGCTCATGAGCACGGTATTCCCCTTGTTGTAAGTTGGTCGTTCCTATTTCATTAAACATAACTGACGGAAGTCAGGTCGACAACACACTCGGCGCAGGTGGCTACTATATCCGCCCCATTGAACACGGCGCCGACATCGTTGTGCACTCTGCCACCAAGTGGATTGGCGGTCACGGTACTACCATCGGTGGAGTCATTGTTGACAGCGGCCGCTTCAACTGGAACAAGCACTCGGACCGCTTCCCGGAGATGGTTGAACCGTCGCCCTCTTATCATGGCCTCAAGTACTGGGAGGCTTTCGGTCCTGCTACCTTCATCACTCGAATCCGCGTTGAGATGCTTCGAGACATCGGCGCCTGTCTCAGCCCCTTCTCCGCACAGCAACTCCTCCTCGGTATCGAAACCCTTGGTCTTCGAGCTGAGCGCCATGCGCAAAATACAGAGAAGCTGGCCAAGTACTTTGAGTCCAGCCCTAATGTGAGCTGGGTCCTCTGGCCAGGCTCTGAGTCTCACCCAACATACGCCCAGGCCAAGAAGTACCTCACACGGGGATTTGGTGCTATGCTGAGTATTGGAGTCAAGGGAGATGCTTCAGCTGGAAGCAAGGTCGTCGATGGCCTCAAGCTCGTGTCCAACCTTGCCAACGTGGGGGATGCTAAGAGTCTTGCTATTCACCCTTGGTCGACTACACATGAACAGTTGTCCGAGGATGAGAGGCTCGCTTCTGGCGTGACGGAGGATATGATTCGTATCTCTGTTGGTATTGAGCATGTGGATGATATCATTGCCGATTTTGAGCAGTCTTTCCAGAAGGCTTATGGAGCTTAGTGTCGCGGTAATCGTGGTGGACTTCGTAGTCAGATCGATAGAAAAGTGGCGGAAAAGGTTGCTATATATACACGTTTCACTGTCATTGCTTATCTATCTACGATTACAAGCTGTTCGCAAATGATGTCACCACTTTGCTGTACCATTGAGCGTCAACTTTAAGCAGCCAATGGAGCTGTGTGTGATTGGTAGTTTCCTCTTCCGCATCAACGATTTGCAATAATTGATTAGACTTTGAATGGCATGATACAAGTTCCCATGGAATCGGAGATCACTATCAGTGGGATAGGTCCATTCTGTCCTGATATGGTATATATAGAAGCACTAACACTAGATATCTTAATTGAAGGATTTTATTTCGGACTGTCAAAAGATCTAACGGATATTGCTCACTTTGTGTTTCATTCACCCTAGAGCTCGAGCTATCTATTTTCTCCACAACACAACGAGATTATGGCTACGTGAGCTCTCAGAGCTCTGTCATCTTCATCTCGAAGCCTTTTCTGTTGCCTCACACACTTTTCTATAGGTACGTTGAGTGATCTGTCGAGCCTTTACACATTCATGACAAGCGAGACCAAATCAAGCATGAAAACAACGGATCCCAGGCAGCACAGAAAAGCCCAAAGCCAGCTGTTGTGTCCATTGATACAAGGTCAGAAAGTATCGGTACCTTAGATCATACCGGACAGCTACATGCATGCTCACGATCTAGCCCGGGTGTTAGGATTATGACTGCACGTGTCCGAGAACCGAAGATGAAGTGCATACGGAGACCGGAGCTCCACTACAAACTTCCGCCGCCGAAGGCCGAAGACCAAAGACAGAGACTAAACCAATCGGAGGAGGGTGTTTGTGACCATCCACTACCAGCTGGACGTAACCCACTGTAACCCACAGAAGCGTAAGCTTCCGTTGTTCTACAATTTGGCAGGAATAATAAAAGGAAAACTTTACTCTAAATTGCGACCGGACAAATGCGACAATTAAATCCTTCCGGTACAAGCTGCAGTAATTAATCTCCAAGCTGGGGTTTTACGGTCTCTATACGGACGTCGGGTCATGGTTTCGGAGGACCTGAAAGGCTCCGAGGTGGCGCTGTAAGTTAGTGCATCCTCCACTGAGAGTGCCAGAGACAATGCACCCCAGATTTCCAGGGTCGCGAGACAGTGAACCTTAAAACAGAGGCGCGATAAGAAGACGAACAGTGACTATCGCAATCAAGAACTAACGTCGATATTAATTATCTCCCCGTTTTCTCTGTATTCACAATAACAATCATGGGTGGTGAAGTCTCAAACAAGACCTGGGTCTTCAAAAAGTCCCCCTCGAGCCTACCAGAGCCCGGTGTCCATACCTCTTTCGAGGATAGACCCTTGAGCCTAGTCGCACCGCCCGGCGGTCTAGTCATCAAGCTCCTCACCGCTGGTCTCGATCCCCATCAGAGAGATCGCATGCGAGGAACCGGTAACGTTGACTACGTGCCTGGCTATGAAGTCGACGAGCCCATCACCAACTTCTCAATCGCCAAAGTCATCCGCTCAGACAACGATGCTTTCGAAGAAGGTAGCTTGATTGCTGGTAGTCTCCCTATCGCTGAGTACGGCATTATCCCAAAAGAACTCATTGATGCTAGAGCCATGGCATCACCGCTTGTTTGGAAGGTCTCAAACGATTACAACCTTGATGTTAAGCACTATGTTGGTACTCTTGGTCTGGCTGGGATGACTGCTTGGAACTCCTTCTACGGTCTCGTCAAGCCTGTCAAGGGCGAGACGATCTGGGTTAACGCTGCATCAAGCTCTGTTGGTGAAGTTGTCGTTCAACTGGCCAAGATCGAGGGCATGAAGGTCATTGCCAGTGTGAGTTCTGATGACAAGCTCGACTACGTGGTCAATGAGCTTGGTGCAGATGTCGGCTTCAACTACAGAAAGGAACCAGTTGGCAAAGCCCTCAAGCGCCTTGCACCAAATGGCCTAGACGTTGTCTTTGAGAACGTTGGCGGTGATCATTTCCAAGCTGCCATTGAGAACATGAAGTGGTTTGGTCGCATCATCAGCTGCGGAACAGTAAGTATCTCTCCCCATCATCACAATCAACTCGCTCACGCTATTTAGGCATCTCAGTACAACAAGCCCGTTGAGGAGCAGTATGGGGTCACCAACCTGTCAGAGATCTTCCGTCGTCGCATCAAGATCCAGGGCTTCATCTTCTGGGATGACAACATCTACACTGACAACATTGAGAACTTCAAGGCTACTATGCCGAAGTGGGTTTCGGAGGGAAAGATCAAGTCGCGCTATACTCAGTTTGAAGGTATTGAGCAGGCTGACAAAGCGTTTTTGTCGATGTTTACTGGTGGGAGCCATGGTAAGACAGTGCTCAAGATCAGCGACCCGTGACTGTAGGCGAAGGGTACTGAGATAAGAAAATACAATAGCAGTAGTTACATACGAATATTTACTCGTAAATTAAAAGCAGCATTTTCACATGTCCATTTTTAAATCTTGACTATAAACAGGTTGCAGCTGCTTATTCCCATGGGTGTATGTTCATCTTGACCCCATTTCCATCCCGATATTTGTCCAGTGCCTGGTTCACCGCATCCGCATCCAAACCTTTGATAACCCCGAAACTGCTTGGACGAAGCTTCCCCTCCTTATACCAACGAGGAACCTCCTCCCAGAATTTCATGGTCAGCTCCGGGTGAATCGGGGATACCCCAAACGCAAGGCGCCGCTCATATCCAGCAGCTTTGGGCCCTATTCGAGCAGCATCAAAGTCTCCGTCTGGCCGACGAAGAGTAATCAAGGTTCCTTTCTTCTTGTTTGACAGCGCTGCGACACCAAGCTCTTGGTCCAAACCAGCATTGACCGTGTCAACAGAGTAAATCAACTCATCTCCAGTGATGGCACGAATCTGACCCAGTACATCCTGAGCTCTTCGATCGATAACGTGGGTAGCTCCAACAGCCTTGAGGTTCTCTTCGTTCTGTTTCCCAGCGATCACGATGATCTGACCTATCCCTGCTAATTTTGCAAGCTCAACGACGGCTCGTCCCGTGTTGGAGCCACCTCCAATGACGAGAAGGCTGACGCTAGAATAGTCAAATGACTTGGCCTCAGTTGCGAGAGGAGCGGGAATTCCATGACCCGAGGGGGCAAACAGGGCAATGAATGCAGCCAAAACTATAACAGGGATTGTTGATGCCTCGTCGTCGGTTAACCCACTGCCGGCTACTCTGCCCACAAACCTCGCATCAACGAGGGCATATTGCTGTGCAGCGTTGAAGTCATTTTTGAAGCCTCCTTCCGCAAACGTGTGTCCAAAAACACGGTCTCCAAGTTTGAACTTGGCAGAGTGCTCTCCGGTTCCAGCAGTCACTACTTCTCCAACGATGTCGCTAGTAATAACATATGGCATGCTGGTAACAAAGAGGCCATCGTCACGGGTTCTCTGGTCGTGTGGGTTTACTAAAATCGAGTTAATCTCGGATCCGAAGACAAACATATTCTTGGAACTTACGGCCAGCAACAAGGACCTTGACCAGTAGCTGGTTCTCGCCGGGCTCTGGGATTGTACGTTGCCCCAAGGCTAACGGCTTACCCACCTCCTCAAGCAAAAGAGCTTTTTGAGACATTTTGGATTGCCGTTCTAGATTCGTTGAATGGAGATGGGGATAGAAACAGAGGCAGAGGGTGAATTTATTAAGAATAGCATTATTCATTGTGCACTAACCACCTACTCTGTCACGCCATCGCAACCTGGGAGGCTTTATCAGACTTATCATCTTACTAATTCATATACTATCTAACAGCTCATACATGTTACAGAAGATTTTGATGCCCTGCTCTATTAAAGGCGTGGATGCTAGATCCGTATATCCAGGCCACGTTTACTTGCAGCCTTGATTGGTAAGCGTGCAATGGCATCAAAACAGACTTCAATTGGCACTCAATTTAGTAAGCAGTCTCAAAAACCACGCCGCGAGATCTGCCGCACGGGATGTTCACTAATCACATATATTTGTATTATAGTTTCCCTATACCGGTATATCACATACTGCGACTTGTGACAAATGCGATCCGAGGTCGAAATATATGCCGAAAGGCTTAATACTCTGGACCCAAGGCGACTAGAAATTCATCTGGTAGCATGAAGTATCCCAGCGGGTCAATAGCAATGATTTCTCTGTCTCATAGCTAGAAGCATGACCCGGTCAACTGTAAGTTATCCTTGGGCAAAGTGCTCTCTGGTTCATGGCTATCTTGACCTTCACCGCAGGCTCATGATGGATTGGTATCAGAAAGTCTGAGGGAGGCTGCCTGGGTATTATGATTCCAGCTTAGCAGGTATAGAAATACCGGATTGAGGTCCTTTTATTTATTGTCTGCAGTTTAGAATCGCGATAGATCTTATATCAGCATAAAGAACTGGATTGTCAGCACTTGCAGATGTAAGACGATTCTCGTATTATGTAGAGTAGCGGGGTTTTCTGTATAAAATACTGTAAGCTCAGTGGCCCATCCATCATGCCAAGCCTTCTACCTAATGGGCTGAATCAGAAGATCAATATTATCTGACTTATAGGTACCCTACGGCTCAGCAGAATTACTTATAATATGGCAGTGATCTGTAAAACGAACTGTCTGACTTCAAGCTAACATTGACGACTGAAACACTAATTTACTATACCCTCCGGCGTTACTATCTATGTTGCTGGACGAACTTGATCTGCCGCTAGACGATGTCGTCGTCGTCGATCGGTTGGCTATTGCTGACTACGACTACAACGAATCCAACATCCTGCCTCAAGATGAGGCCACTTTGAGGAGATTACAAGATTGGCTCAGACCTACCAAGCATAAAGAAGATGGTAGCGAACTGAAGAAGCATAGCAGCTCCCATCTGGAGGGTACTAGCCAGTGGCTCCTTGACTCGCCCATCTTTCAACAATGGCATGATAGTCGCAATGATGGGATTCTGTGGATTCGCGGTGTTCCCGGCACTGGCAAATCCGTCCTTGCCTCGAGACTCATCCATCACCTATCATCCGAAGATTTCCCAGTTCTGTACTTCTTCTTTCGTCATACCATCCAATCCAACCATCGCCCCGAATCTGCACTCCGCGACTGGCTTGCTCAAGCCTTGCCCTTCAGCCCTCCTCTTCAACTGACAATTAAGAATCTGATCTATCGGCCCATCTGCCTCGACTTTGTAGACGATCTGTCTTTGGTTGAGCGGTGGCATCTCGTTCGGCTTGCCCTGAGAGACATGCCCAGGGCCTACTGCGTTATCGATGCCCTCGATGAGATGGATAACAATGCCTTGGAAAGTTTCTTACAATTGGTTGATCAACTGGGCAATATGCAGCCTGATAGAATCAAACTTATCATTACGAGCCGGCCTATCGCGACGGTTGAGAAGATGGTGCGAAACTTGAAGCTTTTGGACATTCGTCTAGATAAGAAAGCTATCAATCCTGGCATCTCTACCTATATCGAACACCGACTCGCTGCCTCCAAACTGTCGCCTGAGACCAGGGTTGCAGCCAAGGATACAGTTTTCAAGAAAGCCGATGGGTTGTTTCTGTATGCCAAGCTGACCATGGACAAGATATCTGGACTGCAGAACGGACCCGAAGCGGTAATACTAGAGAGTGTTGAAAGAATGCCCGTCAATCTGTCAGCCATGTATAGAAACCTCCTGGGGGAGCATATGGACCGTGCCAGACTCCCAGAAGGATTGCAAATTCTTGTCCTGAAGCTTGTTACCCATGCCACTCGACCCTTGCGTCTTCTTGAGATATCCGAATGTATCAGAGTAACCCAGCCCCAATATGGTCAAGACACTGGCACTGTCAAGAACCACGTTCGAACTTGTTGTGGGCCATTACTTGAAGTCCTTCCTGACGAAACTGTCCGCGTTGTTCATCATTCCCTTACTGAGTATCTGCTGGGACTTGACCGATCTCCGGACGATCATGAGATTCCTGTGTTTGAGCCTGGCCCGACACACAATCTTCTCGCAAACATCTGCCTATCATATCTTCAATCGAGCCATCTGGACAAGATTAGGTTTCACTACTTTGGTTCCGTCATTAAAATCGTCACCTTAACAAACCAACAACTGCCGCCTTTTATGAACTACGCGATGAGAAACTGGAATATTCACGTTAAAGAAGCTGCTAGGCGAGGTTTCATACAGGAGGAAACAAACGACAGGATCTTTTCAACGCTCATGATTCCGGAACATGTTAAGATACTGACCACCTTGGCGGAGAAGCCACCTGTGGGGAACGAATTCCGAGGGCGCCTTGATCCGCAAGCGCCCCTTGAGACTGGAGTCTTGATTCTCTCCATCAAACTGGGGTTGACCAGTTTTATTGGCAGTCTACTTGAGCGTTATGATGGAAGAGCACTCGAGTTTCACGGGTTTTCACAGATATACCCTCCATTGCACCAGGCTGTGGATGACGGAAATCTAGACATTGTCCGTTTGCTCATCGAGCATGGCGCTGAACTGGACGAACACGACTATAAGGGATTCACACCACTTCACAGGGCGTTAGATGGCGGCCCAAGAACAAAAGGTGAAATGCGTACCGTTATCATCGATAGCCTACTCAAAGCTGGCGCCGATCCATGGAAGATGCAGGATGAAAGTAAGAGACAATATGGAATGGGTTTACCAATTCAGAAGGCTTTTGAAGCCGTCGATAGGACAGTTGCTAAGCTGTTTCTACCTTCCATCAAAGACCAAGGGCAGGCCAATAAGGTCTTGAGTTGGATCATCAATAGCTCCAGGGACTTAAGGACGTTGACGTGAGTCTTGGACCTAGGCCTGGCAGACATCAACGACCATGCTAAGTCTCCAACGCCTTTGTTCCAAGCATGCAAGCAGGTCGACCCCATGATGGTTTCTATCCTATTGAAAGCCGGAGCAGATCCAAACACCAGCCAATTGTTCCCAAAAATGAGTACGTACCCGAAACTTGGTTGTTCCCGCGATGAAATGGAAATGGCGGGACCCAACGCTCTACATGCTTTGGCAGCACCTCACTCTCCATCCAAAGATCCATTCAACGTCTATAAGCGATCTTCGGCCTTTCCCAACAAATATCCACCTGATGATGAAGCTGTCCGAGAGTGCTTCCGGTTAATTATCGACGCAGGTGCCGATGTCAACCACGCCGATAACCGAGGGAATACGCCACTTCATCTAGCAGAAATCCCTCTAATGGCACAACTCCTTCTTGAAGCGGGAGCGGATATCACTGCGATCAACTGGTGTAACAACACGCCGCTTCATACCGCCCAAAATCTTGATGTCATGAAGATGATACTTAACAAGGTTGATATCGGAATTAGGGACCGAGAGAGCAAGACAATGTTTTTCCGATTGCTAGAAGGGTCAGGCACCAGACGAGACAAGGGATTCAGATCATTTCAAGGTGCTCTGCCGCTGCTTGACCTTGGGGTTGATGCTCGAGCCGTCGACAATGAGGGCAGCACTGCGTTGCACTATTTGGCCTCCACAGAAGAAGGGATTGCTAGTCCTGAAGGGTTACAACTTCTTCACAGATTAATGCAGGACGGAGTCAATCCAAACTTGCATAATGCAAATGGTGAGGCTGCCATTCACAAGCTGGCTCTACACTGTCGACGTTCTGGAACTGTGTCGCCTCCGTGTTTGAGGACATTTATCGAGCTGACGAAAGCTGCTATCAACGCCGTGGATAGCAAGGGCCAAACACTTCTCTTCAGCAGCATTGATAGGGTTCATTCCAACCTGGAAGACTTAGTGAAGGACTACGGAAAAGAGGGGAGATTTGCGCTGGATGACACGACGAAAAACGCAGTGACTAAGAGCGGGAGCTTCATTTCAGTCATGGCCGATCTGGGAGCCCGATTCGATGTGACAGACAAGCAAGGGCGGACATTGCTTCACGCTGCAGTTCGAAAGTGTCAAAACGACAGGGAATATAATGTACTACGCCGTCTCATTGACCGTTTTATTGAGCTTGGAGCTGATCCCCTCCGAGCTGATCTGGAGGGAAACACAGTATGGCATGAGGCAATGCCGAAATATGCAGGAGAGGAGTCCCAAGGGTCATCCTCGCTGGAGACTCTGCAAAGCATCACAGCTTTGGGTATCGATCCTACAAAGGCCAACAATCAGGGAATCACGCCGTTTCATCTCCTCTGCGAATACGATCAGCCAGCTACCAAGACCGCCTTGTTTGAATACCTTTTGCAGCAGCATGGAGGAGATGTCAACATGAGAGACAACAATGGAGTTACTGCACTTCATATCGTATCGACCTACTCCACAGACTTCACAAGGAGCCTTCTGGAGCTCGGTGCTGATGCAACACTAGTTACAGAGGAGGGAATGAATGTCTTTCATCTTACATCCCGATGTCGGCAGAGCAACACCATTGGCCTTTTTTTTGGATTGGTTCAGGGAACGAACCACCAAGAAAGAGCTGCAGAAGTTACTCAACCTCAAAGACAACCGTGGTCGGTCCCCACTGTACTACGCCTGCGCCTCTGATCGCTTCCAGTCCGTCGAGCTTCTCATCAATGCTGGTGCAGTTGTAGAAATGGAGACATATGAAGGCTCTGCATTGAATGGCTGTGTTCAGACTGAAGAGGAGATGAAAAATTGGCAGAGCTCTCCGTCACAGACTGATCCTCCTGAGTCGGGTGGTGTCCTTGTAGATGATACAAGGCGGCCCAGGAATGCACGAATTGAAGGACGGCTTCAAGAAACCTTAGATCTCCTCATCGCCAACGCCGCTACACCAAATTGGCATCTCATTGATATAGCCATCGCTGCAGGTGCTGAAATGGCCGCAACTGAGAATCTGAATCCGGGTGATAAGCGCTACCACGTGTGTCGCCCAGACCATGATTACACTGTCGAGTGTCTCGTACAAGCGCGAAGGGCTTTGAAGGTTGAAGACGACTTACCACGCGCGTTAGAGGTACAACAATGCTTACAACGACGAGAAGATATTGTGAAGGATTTCTCTGTCAAGAAGGAATGCACATGTGGCGAGTGCTATAAGCTTCCGCGGCTTGTACAGAGACTCAAGGAACAGAAGTGTTATGAAGCTATTCCCGACTACGTCAACAAGCTATCCCCCAAACCCGAGGACTTGCACTATGTTCTCGTCACTCTCGCAAACGAAGGCATGGCAAGGATTCTCGATACCTTGCTTACACCAGAAACAATTCTGAGCTCTGGGATGAGAAAGGATGAGAGCCTTTCTTCCCTGATGCGTGCTGCCTGTGAATCTACAGAGCCTAATATGCCAGTAATCAGGCTTTCAGTATCGAAGGGGGTTGGCCTGGGTGAAACGAAGTCACCAGAGTGCAACTTTCTTCATGTTCTATCCCAAGGGAGGAGGGAAAGGTTCTCCCGAAGGGGGCAACGTCCCTGGTGGCATGTTCCTTGGTGGCATACAGGCCAAGCGCTTCCGTACCTGATCAAGCAAGGCGTGTACCTTGAAACCAGAGACAGAGAAGGGCTCTCACCCTTGAATGCCAGCTTAGACGACATTGAAAAGTCCGCGTGGAGGCCTACGGCTACGGAGATGCTTCTACAGGCTGGTGCAGATCCCAATAGCGTGGCCTACAAAGGGAAGTCCTGTCTTGCACGTGCTGTTGGTAACAAAACAGTCTTCAAACTGCTGGTCGGCCATGGGGCTATCATCGACCCCTCCCTGCTGACTTCCGCCATTCTCGCCAAGGATGTTGGTATGGTAGAGATGATACTATCTTCTGGTGCAGATCCAAATGTCCGCAGACCACCAAGCCCCCCTTCCCCAGATAAAAAGAGGCGGAGAAAGGACGAGAAGTACACTTCTGTCTCTTTTGACGAGATGTACCCTCTTGATATGGTGATTTACATGATCGATAGCCGTACTGCGAGCGCGGTCGATTGTGAGGTTTACCTTCGTATGGTTGAGATGCTGCTCGAGTTTGGCGCTGATCCAAATGCTCGCTTCCATCAAAAAACAGTGGCGCATAAGGCACTGAGAAAGGATGTCAGGTACGGCGACTCTATGCCTTGGGAAATGTTTCTCAATCGCAGGGCTACTGAAAGCGTCCGAAGGAAATATTTAGACCTCATTCTCCAGCATCCGACACTGGACATCAACTTGAAGGATGCTGCGGGTGTTCCATTGCTTCATGTTGCTTTCGAGGACGCCGATGAAGCGTCAACTCGAATACTGATCGATAGAGGCGCCGACCTCTACGCAAGGGATAATTTGGATAGGACGATCCTGCACATAGGACCTTCCCTTCTGTCCGAGAAGAGTTTATTCGACGAAGTCATGACTCTTGCGCCAGAGCTTTTGAATCAGGTCAACAAAGTCGGCAGAACACCACTACATTATGCACTGGATGATAGAGACCGGTTTGGATATCTGGGCAGAATAGAAAGGGTCGAAGCGTTTGCCCAAATGCTTATAGCTGCAGGAGCTAGTGTCCGTGCAAAGGATGAAAATGGGGATACACCACTTCACCTTCTTCTCCAGAGGAAATGGTACCTACTCGTGCATGAAGATGGCAGTGAGGTTTGGGAAGGGCCCGTGTACCCAACAATGGAGTTGCTTCTCTCGAAAGGTGCAGACATCAATGCACGAAACGAAATGGGCGAGACACCTATTTTCGCGTTCTTCCGCGAGGGTGATTTCCACGTCAACATGACCAGAGTCTATCCCGACAAGTGCTTCGGGCATTGTTCATGTATCCACCATTCGAATGTTGAGAGACAAGCCATGGAAGAAAAAAGACCAGTGCTATGGGCGTTGCTTGAGAAGGTTGGTGTGGACTGGACGGCTGTTAATGTGAGGGGGCAGTCCCTGCTCCATGTTGTGGCGAATCGAGGAGGCTGTGGAAGTTGTTTCACGAGATTGGAAAGGTTTAAGCTTTTGGATGGGCAAGGGGCTGGATCTGTTGGTGGAGGATCGAGAGCATCGGACAGCGTTGGATATTGCTGCTGCGAATGGGGCTTCTGAGATTATGGAATTGTTTAACCCAGAGGGGAGATAATTTTCTATTCTAATAACCGACTTGTGAGATCGATGTTTCCCTTTTTAATAGAATGCTTTCTGGTTCATAGTTGCCTTGAGCTTAGAGCATGCCGGTGATGATGGCTTGGTAGCTTGTACTAGAAAGCAGGAGAGCAGCTACTTGAATACTAAGAATCTGACTTACAGCCTTCACAAGGGAGCTCAGGTGTTTTATAAACGCCTGTAACCATTAGGGTTGTAAGCCCATATCAATCTCAAAACACCAACCGTTACCCCATAGGCGGAGTAAATAATTTCCAGCTACTGCTCCGTCGCCAAACTCTAAATCTTAAAGAGCCAATAGTCTTTAGATCTAAATCTCAAAGGGTTAAGCTTGGTCTGGCTTACCCCAGTCTATCAGGGGAAAGTTACCTGTTTGATATATATACGGACGGCAATGCCGGTTCAGCTGGGTTGAATTGCCAAAGCGTCAAAGCCACTCCGATCTACTCCGTAGGGCATCGACGAAAAACGCGCCCTGCCAAGACTCGAAGATCTTCATAGACACATGCTGGGAATTGGGATATCTCCACATCGTCGGCCCGACGGGCTATAGGTACCTGAAACGATATGCACTCGCACATCTCCGAAACGCGGCCTGCATTGACGATGCTACCTGGTTTTGACAGGTTCACGTTTCTGGGTATCCTAGGTATCCGGTATATTATAATACTGTCATAAATGGGTTGCGTAATGTCTTGACCAAATTGGGCTTGAGTAGGAGATTTAGCGTTTTGTCGGGTAGTTCCATGCCTGTATTACTTGGTCGGTTCACTCCCTTTGCAACATGCCCACAATACGGCCAGATAGCTCGACTTCAGCTTAAGTATGCTGCCATTAGCTTGATCGGTACATAGAACAGTATTCCAGCTAACCATTAAACTAGACCAGGAATACTTGGGTTTTCTTGCTATTCGTTATATTTAATATAGAATGGACTCTTCAATACTTTAGCTATTCCCTGAGCAATAGATGTAGGTATCTGCTACGCGACTCAGACTCGAAACCATGACGCCTTATGTGGAGATATCATTTACCCAATTCTGCCTTTAGTCTGCGCCTCCTTGACCTCCTGCTGACAGTGATCTTCACTGCTATACGACAGCTGACATGTGGTGGCGTAAGGGGTTTGTTGGCGTTAAGCTGAAAAGCTTAGGGCTACTGCGTGGGTAGTTATGTACTTTGAGTTAATAGATCTGACAGCTGGACCCTGTATCGTGCGCCTTATCTCCTTGTACCTTCGTCTCCAAAACGATTATCCAAGCTTGCAGATCACCGATAAACGGTGGCGGATATAACCATCTTATCTTAGCACTGATTTTAGAGCGGTTGGATTTATTTCTGGTTGGTTTGTAAAGTTTTAGCTTGTTTGACGACTTTACTAACTCCAAGACTGGATTTCCCCCGGTCAGTGGCTTGGGCTAAGAACTGATCGTTTTGGGCAGGTCGTGTAATGGCTTAACTCTATTATTGACAGACCTTTACATGCCAAACTTGTCAGGGGAGTAGCTGATGGTTACATATTTCCAAGGGTTACCAACATCGTCGCTGTCAACATCTCAGTCACTGGCCATTGCATTAATCCCTGATTAATACTCAAGATATACTCACAATGAAAGAGGCGGATACTCGGGCACCACTCATATTGGGTGTTGTCCTGACCCTTCTGCTGCTGACTTTCAGTATCGTGCTTCTACGAGTGTATACTCGAGCTATGCTTCTAAAGCAGTTCGGTGCCGACGATATTTGGGCTGTATTGTCTATGGTATTTCCCAGCTCCTACGCCAAGGCCAGTATCTCAGGTACTAAACAGCAAAACAACAGGCTTCAATTACTACATGCGCATGCAGCATTCTACTAGGTAAGAGAAAATACCTCTTCAGAATGAGTGAGAATCTAAAATATCTCCAGGCATTAAATATGGGTTTGGTAGACATCAGGTATTCTTAACTGAAGATGAATCAAGGAGTTATTTCAAGGTTTGTTTCTTGGACATCTATCTGCTCGCTCGCTAATGCCACTGAAAGGTGTTTTACGTTACCATCATCCTTTACCTCGTATCCTTGGGCGCGATTAAAACAACACTCCTCTGTCAATACTACCGGGCATTCGCTATAAACAAGATGAGGACGGTTCTCTTGGTCGCTATGGTCTTTGTTTCGGCCTGGAGCATTTCTCAGATCTTTCTCAATATCTTTGTCTGCACCCCCATAGCTGCCTTCTGGGATAGAGCTATCGAAGGCGAATGCATTCCAAGAAACCCGACGTGGTACATTACTGCAGCTGGGAACATCGCGACGGATATCATGATTATAGTGATACCCTTTCCCGTGGTGATTAAGCTGAACTTGGCTCGTCGACAACGTTTTGTCCTGCTTGGGGTCTTCTGCGTGGGCTTCCTGTAAGTCCTACCCAAGCAATCTCGTCTTGTAACCTACCACTAATCGCTCGCATAGTACATGCGCCATCTCGATGGTTCGTATGGGTTACCTAGATATCGAAGAAGACCTTACCTGGGTCAACGTCGAACCAGCGTGTTGGTCATTCACCGAGCTCTGTTGCGGGCTGCTATGCGCCTGTGTCCCTACGCTACGACCATTCGTCTCGCGATGCTTTCCTTCAATGTCCAGCTATAATCGCTCGACAAAGGCATACACTACCAACCCGCCACCCGAGCCGCACACTTCCAATCGCTATCACGAGATCGAACTACAAAACAGACGTCGTATACAGGATGATTTGCTCCAAGACGATAACCGGTCGACGAGAATACTGCGCGTGTCCGAGTTTACAGTGACGGAGACAAGGGAGTTGGCGGATACAAAACATGGCGAGAGGGAAAGCGATGATGAGGTTTTATTGGTATCTCATGTGTTTACTGCTCCTCGGCCTATTGAGAAGGCGAGGACCAGGCCAGGTAGATTGTCAGCTACAGATTAGGCACACTCAGTGTTACAAAGAGCACTGAGATCTTTATTTTATACATGATGATAAAGATGTATAGTGATGTACCTTTTCCAACATCACAGAGCCGCTCGTTGCATAATGTCCGGTAAACTCTCGTGCAGAAACCCAATCAACAACCAATTCAACTGACTCCATTCGATCAAGAACGCATCATGTCCATCATCACTCACGATCTCTCTCAACTTGGCATTTGGTACAGCTCGCGCAATCTGCTCTTGTTCAGCAAGTGTATACAGCCCATCACTTCGTATTCCCAGCACAAGAGTAGGCTGCTCAATCAGTGACAGTGCTTCAGTAATGGTCCGCGTTCGACCACGCGCCAGGTCATGAGTGTCGAGCTTGTTGGTGAGGGCGATGTAGCAATTGCTGTCGAAGCGGTCGGAGAACTTCTTGGCTTGATAGCGGAGGTAGGATTGGGCGGCGAAGTTCGAGTCGGCGCGGTCAAATGCGACAGGGGTCTCGTCGGCCCCGCCGTGGCTGTGAATTGGTGTACTGTTACTCGGTGATGTCTTGCTCTCTTGTTTCTGTGTCTGAAACGTGTGTTAGACTCGTCTTTCTCACCGAAATTAGGTGCTAACCTTCTTTTTGCTTCCTGTGTCGCGTCCAAATCGCCTCTCAAGGGAGTCCCGACTTCGGTACGTCAACAACGCCGTCATACGAGCTGCTTCCAGACCAAGAACTGGAGGATCATCAAAGCTGTAACGACCGTTCTTGTATTTAACATCGCTTCGAATGGCATGTCGCTGTGCTTCTCCCCAGCCAATGGCCCACGCACTTTGATGACTTGAAGTTGCAGCTGGTACAATACAACGAACATAGTCTTTACCAAAGAACGCCCATTCAAGAACGTGCATACCTCCCATAGAGCCACCAATGACAGCTGCAACCTTTCGAACTCCGAGCCTGTCTAGGACCAACTTGTGAAGTCTGCGATACTTAGCTGGTAATCGTGACTGTATTGGCAAAAATCACTTACCGAACATCATCTCGGATAGTAGTTGAGGGAAAGTCAGCCCCGTACCAACCCTCCGAGTTGTCTCCATTCCTGGCTGTCACAGGACTAGCCGTTCCATATGGACTTCCGAGACTGTTCATACAGATGACGAAGAACTTGTCTGTATCAAATGCCTTCCCAGGCCCAAGAAGCGGTCCCCACCAATCGCTGACATCTGCACTCCCGGACAGCGCATGGCAAATGATCATAACGTTATTGGCCTTTGGTGATAGCTTGCCCCAGCTCATGTACGCAACTGGAACATTTCGCATCTCAACGCCAGATTCGAGTGTGAAGTTGGGGATGGTGATGATTTCTCGTCCGGGGACATGATATGAGAACGGATTGACGGGTCTAGGAACACTCTTCTCTGTGTCGAGTTAGTATAACTCCATTAATATATGCTTATTCCGAGGTCTCACCATGTGGGATACCTTTACCGAGCCCATCCTGAATGGGCGTTGGCAACGCAGGGGCCGTCATTGTCGTCGACATTCTTCGTCTTGTTGCTACAAGCAAGTTGCCGGAACAGCTAATTGAAAGATAACGGGAACGGGATAGAATATGTTTGTGAAGCACCCTCAGAGTCTGGCGCTGGTTCATCGGAGACGATTGCTTATTCAGAGAGTGAAGAGGATTATCATCGGGTCCTGAGTGTTGGGGAGGGCATACCACAGCAACAGCGTTGGGACAGCCAACTTCAAGAATTTGTCAATTTTTCATGTAAAGACGCAATCTAATCTAATCTCATATTCGCAAGAGATATCCTGGTGTAAGTGACTACCCGTGTTATTCTCGAACCTCCGAAGTGGCCAGCCCAACCTCCGATCCTTCGATCCACTTCGTCAAAGCTTCCGTACATCTTCCGATCGACAGAACGAACTTTTGGAAGACTCTAAGTGGCCCGTTATAGATTCATCCTTGCTTTTGTGGCTCCGGTAGTCCCGTTCGTATCAAGCTTATCAATGCGATTGCCTTACAGGTC